CGCTTTTCGCAAGTACAAAAGCAGATACCACATGATAAAGAAAAGGTGTTGAAGAAAAGGGAAGAGAACAATAGCTCACCCATTTTTCGCAATTTCCTTTTTTTCCAGGAAATGAAGAAGGCGAGCAAAGTGGAAAATAGTTTGTGACACATATTCCAGCGCTAGAAGCACAACAGCGAACCGCATGAAACTGAAAATTTTCGGATTAGACGCTATAAAAAATAACCCGAAAACTTTAATTTTAAAAATGGTTAAAAGCAATACATATAAAACATATGCGAGCTAAACCTACTTCATAATATAAGCGGCACTAATGAAACAAATATGGAGGACCGAAAGAACGGTTCGCTGTCTGATCTCATCGGCTTTCATTTTTTGGAAGTAAAACTCAGGGAACTGGTGAATCCAGTACGATATCTGAACAAACCACATAGCATCGTGCAAACATCTTTGGAAGAAATCCAAAAAAGCGTGCTATATCAAAATGCTTTACCTGGAGAATGGCAAACAATTTCATATTGAGATTCATCCAACGATGTTCTTCAGGATATCCTAGCCAAATCCTGCAAAAAAAAATAAGATTCAAAATCCAGGTAAAACACTTCTCACTTCCAGTACTGCACTAGGGGCTTTTGGACGCACCTTTTCACATCGGTATAATTTTGCACAAAATCCATAATCACATATACGGCATGACAAGCAGAGTAGAGAGCAAACAGTGACATATGACCTGATTCCGTGAACTTGAAGGTCTTCACTTTCGACAGACGAGCCTAAACAAATGCGCATAAGCAAAAAATGCAATGCCAGTTCACAGATCAATTTGAAAGGATCACTTCACGGAAATCGGAGCAATTTTGAAAGGATGTAAGGCGCGTCCTCCATCCTTTCAAAGTTGCTCCCGGCTTTTTGTTTATGGAAATTTAATTATTAAGAGAGGGTTTTCGCAAATTCACTGACTTCGCCTTATATTGAAGCTTTGGTACATGGAGTCAATCGATGTTTATCTGAACCTTCGAGAATTTCCCGAAACCCAAATGACAAGGAGACAAATTCTTCTTATATTCAGCGAAAAGTCCATTGCACTGGACGAAAACGAAATGAGAAAAAATATGAGGAATATAAATAGGATCAGAGGACGCAGTAGTGAACCAGTGAACAAACGGTTGCGAAGCAGCGCATGGCAACTGTTTGTTATCACTCCAAATGGTCGCCACGACTATAAGAACTGTGCCTTTGGGCAGCTGCATTCGTTTGCCTAGCTGCGCAATGATTTGCAGTGCATCGTAAATAAAACTAATAAGAGTAGGACAGAGAGAACAAGCAAAACTAATACACAAGCAATTTTGCGATGATGAAATAATATTTTACGTATCGTATGTTACGAACCGCCGCACTGAGCGTATCTCCTCCTTCCTTAACCCTTATTGCTATCTAAAACCAAGAATATATCCATAATTCTATCAATAAAACATAATTTTATCTGCCACGACCAGAAAACGTGAAAAGAAGGCTTTGGAACATAAAAATGGCATATTAGTCAAAATCCATTTGAGTGCTAGCCGGCGTCACCGAATGAAAATGAATTCGCTCCGCTCATTTGCCTTTCGTTTTCAAGCAGGTTGACGAATAGCGGATCGCATCCGTCACTATGTGGTCGCAATGCTCCAGACTATAGTGGAAACCCAACCAACATCAAAAGATGTACTCCTTACTTTCAGAGAAAAGCCAAAAGCCAGGTAAAAGTTCGTATAAAAGAATGCGATGGGGAAAGCACACGGAGCTATAGATGTTTGGTGTAAAGTTCCGAAGCAAACTAACATTAATACGCCCTGGATTTTTTTGAGTTATTAGAAAACTTACTGAAGCAAACAAACAAAGTAGTTGAGGAGCCGCAAGTAATGTGAAATGCAATCGCAATACAGGTACAGTACAGTACGTGAATCGTAACACTACCCGTTCCTGCCAAAACGGCTAACTCACCTTTCTCTGCAGTTTATCCAAGAAGTACTCTTGAATGACAGCGTGTACCACAACCCAGGCAACAGCATAGAAAAGAATTGTGAAAATATCCGCTGGACCATTACGATACAGAGTAAGGCTAATCGGACCGGGGACAAAAAGATCAGGGTATGAAACGTTTCGAATGCTATGCAGTGCGGGTTCTGCCCGAGAGATTAATGACAAATATTATTTTTTCTGACATGTTCAGGTGCCTGTGTGGAATTCGAGAATTGCACCTCAAATCGGAAGAAGGTCGAGGATTACCGACACAATATTCGACCCATGAACTCAAAACAGATTGTTCTCTAGAATTGCGGGAAAATGGTTTGATAATTATAATACATGATCGATAAACTTGGACAACACCACTTTCGCCATACTTTGTGCAGAAAAAAAACCGCTTATCAACTACACCATTTTTTATGACGGCAGAAGGAAAGAAGCGCCCTTCGACAAAAAAGAGACTAACGAACCTAGCTCGGATGTGACGTTGACGGTTTCATTGTATTGAGGAGCTACGAAACGGTAACAGTAGGCTGATAGCTGTACGAAAAAATGATGATGTTGTATACAAGTCAAAATCGACAAAAGAAAAGAAACAATTCTAAAATTTGATTCCGAATAAATGAGGTAGCTGCGGTAGAGTCTTGGAAGTGAAAAAAAAACCTATTCTGCACAATGCAGCAAAAACATGCTAATGCAGGTAAGTAGAATGAAAGTATTGATCTAGGGTTTCCCAAACTCTTTAGATTCTGAAACATCCCAACAAAGTGAATGACGTTCAGATCATGTTAAAAACTGTAGCAAATAGTAAGAGGACTTTAGGTAGAGATTGTCAAATAACAGGGGGCGCTCAGAGCTACTACACCCCCCCCCCCGAACTATTGGACCGCTTTTCCTTCTCTTTTACAAACACAGAAACTTTTACGACTAAGGTCGCTCTAATGCTTACTACGGATTATCCACGTGAGACTCCTAGTGTTGACTGTTGGAAGATTATTTCTTGGTAGAAAAGGAGAAAAAACTCCATATATCCTGCAGCACCAACATGGCGCTCTGTGCGGATAAGTGACACACGTCACTCACACATTAACCTCCTTTTACAGCGATTCTTGGTACGTGCACTAATTTTCCAATTAGCCTTCACAGCTTTACGCTCTGCTCCAAATCGGATGAATAATGAATGAACGTGCACATCATTCACATGGCAAAAAATTCTTTGATAATGCTGTGTTCATGGCAGGAAAGACACAACGATGAGCAGAAGCTAGCAATACTGAGGCTTTTCGTCACTTTCAGAAAGACGTTTTCCTCGACTGTGAGTAAAACAAAGTTGAAATTCGATATATGGTTCACGAAACTGCTCGGTTCAGCACCAAATAAAAGACGAATTATGATGCGGAAGCGAACTGAGAGAGCTGGCACCGAGCTGAGGTAAATCCAGCAAAAGTATTGTCCAGTCAAAGTCTCTACTTGTGGAAGTTGGTGTAGACATTTTCAACACTAAGAAGCTGTTTGTGAACGAAAACCTTGGATAGATTTATAACGGAAAGCTCCTCCCTATAACCGCCCCCAGGATTTAATCATTTTTTCATGAACATGAAGAAAGAACGTATGACGATGGTCTCTTCGGATTTCTGAGCGAAGCAAACTATGCGAAGTGAGCTTGCAGCATTTCTCTTTGAGGAACAACATCAAAATCATTTGAATAAAGCAAATCAACCTACAGGGAACATGAGGCCGACGATAAAGACCATCAGCACACAACTCATAATATCGCCGTGATTCTGGATGACGAATTCATGGCTGAATATTGGTGGAGTTGTCTTTTTGTGTCGTCCACCTGCCGTTGCACGTCGAGTTTCAACACCCATCCTGGAAAGAACTGCAGAGATTATGAAGAGAGGAAATTAGGACGCAACACGTAAGAACTGAGCTAAGAGCTCAACGGTGGAATTGAATGACTACTGACATGCGAAGTAAAAGTGCTCGATGGGACTTAATCTCATTTCTTACACGGAAAACAGACAACTCCCTTTGAACTTCAGATAAACAAGATCTTTATTACTGTCAAAAGGAACAGCTGCGTTGTTCTTTTCACCATTTGGCAGTCAACTGATGGAGAAAAGAAACTGCAATAAGGAAGGAGACGAATGCCATCCCATTTGACAAAATAACCTAATTTCCTGAGTTGAAACTCTATAGCAACACACTTGCAATTTAGTACAGAAAAAACCCTTCCCAATTATCCACTTTTGCAAGAAGGAGACTTGTACTCATGCAATCAGATAGTTTAAGTAACAGAAATTGTAATGATGAGGGAGAGACACCCAAAGAAGATGAATAGCACCCCCACCGTTTTCCAATTTACATGAAACTTCCACGAAGCAGTACTGAAAGCCTCACAAGCACACCGCGAAACGCGACAGCGGCCACGACATGTCGGTCCCAACACGAGGGTTGTGTGTGCAGTTCGGCTACGGTAGCTCGGCGGCAAGGCGCAGCGCCCCATTGGCTGGAGCGCTTCACCTCACGAAAGCCTGCAAACAGAGCCACCGAAGGGTTTATTGCGGTGGAGTTTTTTTGTGTCGGGGGGGGGGGTAGCGTTCGCTATTTAGGCCGCTGGTTATAGCGGCTGAGGTAATGACAGCAGGGTGAGACTTTCAGCAACGGGGACGCATTTGTCTCTTCAAGTGGGGGAGGGGAAGCGTATTTGAGGAAACTTCCCATTCAGGAATGCAGGTAAGAAGTGTAAGATTCCTCTTTACCACTACTCTTTGCGAGATATGCCCCACCCTCCCCTCCCACCTTCCTTCGCCCCTTTATTTCTTCCCCTCCAGTCTCAACCCTTCTGTTATTTCAGTAGTTCAAAGCAGGATAGATTCCCGTTTCACTTCCTATTCTTTGTCCCAAACGGTGGCGGGGTCCGCTTTCCTGGTATGACGACGCCACTTTTCCGATTATGTGCCTGATCGGGGTGAAGGCCAACTAATTTCAAGTCCTCATGCAACGTATCAAGCCATCGTTGCTTCGGGCGTCCTCTTGGCCGCTTTCCTGGCACGTTAAAGTCTAGACCGATCTTACGTTGCTTCGGGCGTCCTCTTGGCCGCTTTCCTGGCACGTTAAAGTCTAGACCGATCTTACGGACACTCTCATCATTAGCGCGAAGGACGTGACCGTACCACCTCAGGCGAGCTTCGCGCATCTTATCAGCGATGGGAGCCACACCGAACCGTTTTTGATGGTATTGTTGCGAATGGCCGATGTCAGACTTTGCGATTGGAGCGATTGTGCACAAATTGCAGGAGCGACGGATCGCTTGAGCGATCCATCGCTGCGAGCGACGGGAGATTTACATGGCCGACCAACGATAATTCGGCGCCATCAGCTCGTAAATGTCCCGTCGCTCGCAGCTCCCTGCCACAACGGCCAAGGCACTTATCACGGCCCGAGCGATGGATCGCTCCAAAGTGCGAGCGACGGGAGATTTACGAGCTGGTGGCGCCGAATTATCGGTGGTTGGCGGTGTAAATCTCGCGTCGCTCGCAGTGCGAGCGACGGGACATTTACGAGCTGATGACGCCGAATTATCGTTGGTCGGCCGTGTAAATCTCCCGTCGCTCGCAGCGATGGATCGCTCCAGCGATCCGTCGCTCCTGCAATTTGTGCACAATCGCTCCAATCGCAAAGTTATACGACATCGGCGAATGTGGTCCAGGCGCGTGTCCGCGGCAATGCAGCGCAGCATTTTCGTCTCCATCACACTGAGACCCCGACCACTTCAGTTACGGGCCAGCATTGCTTCGTAAATGGCGACTGGTCGGAGGACGGTTCTGTGAATCTCAGATTTCAGTCGTTCTTATATCTTCTCATCGCAGAGGATGCCGCTCATCGAGCGCCATTTGGACCAAGTTGCACTCACTTGGGAGTTTACTTTAATTTTTACTCGAGACCAGGCTGCCGTCAGACGCAATTGCTGATCCAAGATACTTGAATGTTGTTGTACGTGTGAGCTCAGTACCATTGATCTTAATAGAGCCTGGCTCACTCGAATCGGTGGTCAAGTACTCTGTCTTTTTGACATTCAACCTGAGCCCGAACATAGCCAGACGGTCGGACCAGGTTTGCACCTGTTGCTCGAGCAGATGTTTGTCTTCGCAGGCGAGCATCACGTCATCAGCATAAAGAAGCGTCCATGGAGCGGGCTCTGAAGATCACGCGAAATGGCATCCATAACGACAATGAATAGGAGTGGGGAAAGCGCAGAGCCTTGGTGCACACCGACCGAGATGGGGAATTCCATCGAAGTACCTGCCACCGTTTGCACCCGACTCCTTAGGTTCGAGTCAATTATGCGACCCACTCAATAAATTTTCCTTCTCTAACGAAAATAGATTCCCGTGATAGATTCCCATTCGAGAGTGGAAAATTACGGAATGTTCTATTACTAGACTGAAACGCTTACAAACGCTTAAAGGCAAAGTTCGGGCTCAGACCCACCTAATAAGCCCTTAAAGTGGCTAGAAGTGCATGGGACGCAGCTGCAGGCGACTCGCCAAGTTCCCGCATCCAAATGCGTCACTAAGGCGCTAGGGGCCAAGGACTTTGACACGCTCCTCCTGTTGCGACACGCTCCGCCCACCGCTCGATATTTTGTCTGCGTCGCAATGCTGATCTGCTCTTCCTTTTTCTGCCTCTCTCTTCTCGGATTTCTCTACCGCTCTCCGCGCTCACATTATCTCTCATCTCCCTGCCGGCCTTTTGAACTTCTCCGCAACGTAGAGCAAAAGGCTCGTATTTCCTGTGTATTTCAGGATTTTCCTTCCTTTTTTCTCCACTGGCGGTCACCCTCCCGCCCCTACATCACATTTGAGTAGAATTACCTCATCAGTTTAAGCTTGAATTGCCTTTAACTCTAATGAAAATGCCGCGTGCAGAAATGGTTTCTCCATATAAGCAACCCATCGAATGGATTGCTGATGAAAAATCACTAATCGTCGAGAAGCGCTGTTGTTGGCGAAAGAAGCGCAAAGGAAACCCCAGTGCGTTTAGGGAGACCATCCAGCCTGCAAATATTTCGGTTGGCAAAATTCGAAAGAGCTTCAAAATAGTCATGACTGAAAATCAGTCGTCCGAATAGTAACAGTGAGGAACATCCGTTGTTATACGGCAGTTAGAGGATGGGCTTGACGCCCGCTTGGTCGATATGGAATTAATTAATTTCTCCGTTCACGCTTGCTGTTGATGTTTATCGCCATAGCGTACTATGATGTACCGCAAAATTCGTATGTTCTCCAGGGTTGAGCCTCACTTAAAAAGGTTCGGCGTTGTTTCGGTTTACGCCGAATCAAAAAAAGCTCAAAAAGTCCTTCAAAAACAAGTCCCTACCAACCCTTTGGAAAGGGTTGGTAGGGACTTGTTTTTTTTTGCTTTCTGAAACGCAGGTCCACTTCATCGGCCCTAATGTCCACAAGCTCCCTCTATCAGAAAGAGCTTGATAAGGGGCATTTCGTTCCGGTCTGTTACATAGATTACGCAAAGGCTTTTGACTCCACTTCAAAACATCTCCTTCTTGAGAAATGTGGTTCTCATAAATGAATTCCGATCATTTACCTATCCCACGCCCAGTGGTGTGCCTCGGGGTGTGTTGAGCCGCTTATGTTCATACTGTATGTGAATAACTTGATTGACTCTATCCCTCTTGGCGCATTTTGCAGTCTGTATGCTGATGATTCTGAAATTTTTTACCATAAATGATTGTCGTAAGCTTCAAGACGCCATAGCAGTGTCGAGGCTTGGTCTAAAAGTGGCAGTTGAACATCTCGCTCCAAAAAAGTGCTAACATGGGGCTTGGGAAAAACTATCCCATCTTCACATTCTCGATGTGTGACGCCCAGCTCTCTCGAGTATGTAAATTTCAGGACCTTGGTGGTCTACAGTGACAAACTTGAGTCTGATGACTTCATTCGTGAAACGCTTGCTAATGCAGGTTCGTTCATAATGCGGGAACTTAGAACTTCCATTCCATCTGCTTCAATCCCTATGTTCGCCCAATCCTAGAATATTGTTCGCCAGTATGGTCGCCACATAAAAGATCGCTTATTGAAGAAATCGAGAAAGTACAAAAGAGTTTCACTTATCGCTGTTTTATGCGCAAAGGGGTGTCAACGCTTAACATATGGTGAGCGCCTTCGCATGCTTCATGGAGAGTCTCTAGAATTCGACGAAAGTTAATTGATTTCTGGATGGATGTATAAACTGGCGATGAATAAAATCGATCTAAATTTACATGGTATTTTTGAGATGTCTCCAGCTACAGGGAACTCCACAGGCCACCGCTATCGCACAAGACCCTACAAACCTAACAGGCATACATACGAGGAGGAAACATTAGCTATGGTGGTTTCGCTTTGGAACAAACTCGGTTTTGATTTCTTTAGGTGGAAACGTACCCAAACATTCCAGGATCAGTTATCAATGTACTTCAAACGGCAACAGGTCACTTCAGAAACGAGCTGTTGGCAAATGGTTCCATAGGACAGCATGGACGTCTGCTCCTCGAACGGTTGACCGTAGCTGGGAAATGTACAGGGGGGAGGGCAAAAAAAAGAGTCACTTTGCCCATGGCGCATATCATCAAACTTTTCGTCGCAAAGGATGCCGCTGTTATTGGGAGTTATACGGCGAAATATTCCTTAGATGTCCCCCCATAAGCAGAATCAGGCCCACCTTCGCTGCCTTCACCGTCTCCAGAATATGACGTCATCTGTCATCACCGTCGAGCTCAAGGAGGCCTACCATAATCGCTCCATTCTGAAGCTGCTACATAATTTCTTCAATCGGATAACTGGTGAATGGCTTCTTAGGGACTAGC